CAGCACAACACACATTAACATTCCGCCACCACGTCAGTGTCACTGCAGTGCTGAGAATGATCCACCACCCAAATAGTACCTGCTCTGTGGAGGTCCTGACCATTGAATGGTGAAGGTGTGCTACAGTCTATAATTGCAGAAGTTCAAAGTGCACCAATATGGTAAGCGAAGCTGATAAAATGGACAAAGAATGTGGATACAAGTAGGTACACTTATTAAAGTGCACGATGGGTGTGCATACAGTACTGTGCAAAAGGCACTGAGGCAGTTGTTTAAAATCATTTATCTGGGCCTTAAATATGTTTTTCCTTGTAATAACACCATGTAACATTAGAATAAATGCAAACTAACATTAATGCAGTAAAAAGCAAGATTTTTTTTGTTTTTTAAAAAAGTAGTTGACGTCTATTGAACTGGTTAGAGGAACAAAGTTTGGTTCCTGACTTCTTAGTTCCCCGATATATTGCATGTATTTACTAAATTCCACCCCTGCACACCTGATTTAATTCAATGAAGTGTCGATTTGCCAAACTGGGTATTGGGTAACAACTGCAAATAGAGGTTTGCAGATGGTTAAACGAATGAATGCATGAAATCACTATTATTGCTGTTTGCAGTTGTAATTATTATTTGCAATATTATTGCATTGATGCTATATATTTATTTATTCTCGTGTTAGTGCTTTTATGAGCAAATAAATGCCTCTGCTTTCTTTGCCCTCTCTTTCCAAGCTCCTCTCTCTCTCCCTTCTCTCAGGGCCACCCTCGCTTCATTTCTGCGGGGTTAAACTTTAATGAGCGCATTAAACTGGAGGGGCCACAGGACCTGTTAAGATTAAAGGCCAGTTTTCTCTAGATCTGAGGCAGAACAGCCTATGGTCTTCACAGGGAGCTTACTGGATGACCAGAATGCATTGAGACACTGAGGTCATGCAGCAAAGAGCTCCCGGCGTCGCTTGAAATTGCAAACTGCCAGTTTTTAGCATCGTTTTGTTTGTATTTTTAGGTTCATTGATTAAAACATCAGTGTTTAGTTGCTTATTATCGGTTCTTCAGTCCTTGTTTTAAAGTAGGTGCACATGCTTGTTGATAGGCTGCTGTGAGACAGGTGTGTGTGGAGCAGGGAAAGCACTACAGTTTACAGTGCGGGGATACTCAAGGACTGTGAAACGCTGGATTTAGGAGTGTATGTGTGTCAACACACATGTTTAAAATCAGCAGAATGTCTTTGCCCCACTGGCTGTGAAGAAGAAACATCTTTCCTTGTACATCAGTCTGTCCAAACACATTCAGAGTAACTGCATCAGACAGGAATGCATATTGAAGAAAAAACAGTGTCTTAAACAGTAACTATACAGTAGTTATTTTGATCAAATTAGCAAAGTTAATGAACTCATGCTTCTACTCTATGCTGTAAGAATTTCTGAGCTATTTGAAAGGACATTAATTCTGGGTATCAAAAAGCCAAAGCTAGAAATTAATATTGTTGTATGACACATGTTCTGGTTTACACTGTACAGTAGTGCTGTGTAAAATAGGGTCTATTCTGCTCTGCTTTACACTACATAATAGTGTATAGGGTAAAGTAGACCAGTATAGACTCTGTATTACCCAGCACTACTATATAGTGTAAAGTAGGACAGGTTTTTGGTTTGGCCCATTGACCATTATAAAAGATTAGGGTCATTTGGTGCTTTTTCACAGTAATTCTACCCTACTGTCAATGACCACCCTTTAATTTCCAGTCAAAATGAATATTAACTATGAGTTACTAACTTCTCAGCATCAGAAAAGAAGCAGAAAACATATTTAACAGAAAATGAACTATGATACATCAAAAAATAACTATATCATTTTTTCTGGTATTTAATGTATCCATCCTTTTCCTTTATTACAACTTTAATTATTTTCAGGACACATGCTTTCAGTTTTTCAACAAAATCTCCATATCCATGTTTGATATTCTATCACAAATTTTCTTCTTTTTTGTCTCTTTTCTCGGTAATAGTTTATTGACAGCTACACAGCCTTTCAGATCCGTAGTGTTGTCTTCTCACAGTGGAAGGATGGACTGAAACACCTGGATTGTTTCAGCGCTGAAGCAAGAGTGGAGCTTGATTTTCTTTTTTTTTTCCTATAAATATTGTTTATTTGATGGTGACAGGTTTGGGTGGTCTTCCAGATCTTGCCTAGTTGGCCCATTTGCATGTGAATTATCTTAAGTCTAATCTCGCGCAGATACATATCTGCATAATGAAGAAGAACTTCCTCCACTTGTGGCTGTATCAACAAGCTGATTGGCTCTTTTTATTGACTGGTGGGACTTTCCCTGTAAGATTAGGACATGTTAAGCATTATGAGTTATACCATTGATTTTTCAACAGGTGAACTGTGTCCTTCTTTATTATGTCTCTAATGTAACTTGTTGGTTTTAAGATTGAAAGGATGGAAAAGCAAAATTGGCAGTAGAGTGCACAAAAATAGAGTTGACAAATTAGTTAGATTTTATATAACAGTGCTAGAGACTTTGCGTACTTTTCTGTTAAATATGTGTTTCCTACTTTTTCTGATACTGAAAAATGAATAACTGAATGGCCTTTTTTGACTGGAAATTGAATTAACAGAAAACTCTGACTTGCACTCAGTACTATACATTGCAAGTTATCCTGATGGTAATAGCTCACGCCCAGTGCTTTCTTCCCTTTCATCTAATCTAAGACACTAAAGGTGATCTTTACCATCTCAATACAGACATGGTAATGTGTAGACATCAAATTCAGACATGTTCATCAAGAGTGTAATGCATCTTCCTCTTTGCTTGTGTTTCTTCACAAGGTTGACTGTAAGTGCTGATGCTGCGCAAGCACCAGGCTAACGCTTAACATGTTGAATGAGGAGAATTCTGGCAACACAAGCTGTTATTCAGCTTTTTGATGCCAAGGGAGGAGCCTTACCCTCCTTCCACCTTCAGCTGTCAAATATACAAGCATGAGCCCATCTCTCCTCCCCATCCCGCTCTCACTTTACTTTAGCACCAGCCTGACAGAACTATTCTGCTCGTTTTCTCACCCCTGACATGTGATGTCTTCAATGTAGAGACTGCCAGCTTGTAAGATCCTTATGCAGCAGTTCTAAGAAAAATCTAATGTACCCAATTTTCCCCTTAACCCAAAAATGCTTGATCGGCCAAGACATGTTTGGTGTCTGAAGTCTGCTTCTTTAGATTTGCTCTGGAAATATGAAGCTAATGTAGCTAACAAGTTGTCACACCCTTGCCTCAAACCTTTTCCTCACCCTTTCCTCAAGCTATTTAAGGGTGCTTTCACACCTACTTTGTTTACTGCAGAAAAAATGAACATTTTTTATAGTATTTTCTATAGTTCATTTTGACAGGTGTGATACTCTGGCCATACTCAGTTCTGCACCAAACACCAGTACCGTGGTCTGCCAAACATTGCGGGTCTTGGTGCTCTTCCAAGTGAATCGTGGTTCAGTTCGCCGCTGGTGTTTTATGATGGCCCCACCAAACAAAGAAATTCAACATCAAAGCATGGTTTTCTCTTCTTCTAGCAGCATGCCAGCATCAGCACGTTAATACTCTGCGTATTTTAACATTTGACTCTATGAAAGCTTATATCATTCTTGCAGCATGAGCTAGGGGGTAAAAGTGGCAGATTAGCAACAAATGAACAGCAAAGCAACACAGATTTTGGCACAATGATTGCTGAACGTTTTTTTGGTCAAGCATCAGTGAACTTCTTTGATTACGTTTTCATGCAGTATAATAGTAGGATAATACATTTATTTCAAGAACATATGTAGGGATAGGCATGGGTTTTATTCTGCTAGTGGTTGTTGAAAAATGACAGATTTGGCACTAACAGAGGTGAACGTGACAGTAACTGAGTGCTAGTAATTAAGTAAAAATTTCTGACCAATAAGTGAACACCCATGTGTATGATTTAGTGCTCTGTTTAGCTGTTGCAAAATGAAACCAACCGAACCAAATGAAAAAATATACAATGTCAGAAAAACCCAAACTCTGGTGTAGACTTGGTGTAAAAACAGCCTAAGTCTGCTTGAGATTGCTTAACTTGAGTTTAAAGTGGTTTGAGGAAAGTGTCTGATGCTTTAGAAATACAGTATCCATGATTCAGATTGGTGCAGTAAAAGCTTTTATTACATGTAAACTACATTAGCTTCATAATGCCAGAGCACTACTAAAGAAGCAAACTTCAGAAAGAAAACATGTTTAGACTGGCTGACTATAGTTGGGGTAAGGGGATCTGCATCGTTTTGAAAAGCTCAGGGAAGGACTCACTGGTAAACAGTTGTAGTCGTGACCAGTGTTGAAAGCGAGGGTTCGTACATGTGCATGTGCGTATCTGATTCCAGGTTTACGACGTCTCTTTCTTGTTTCCTCCTTTTTAAAATTCTTCTTATCTTTGCCATGCATTTCTCCTCTGTTACATGCTCAACACCTCCAACCTGATCCTCATTCCTATTCCAAATCATAGAACACAATATCTTGTCCTGTACACGTGTGGTGGGGTAATGCCTGTTAATGTGAATGTGGTAGGCACGTTTGCTGTTTGTGACGTGTTGGTGCCTGTAAAGTTGTGTAGTAATGCCCTGCTTGACGTTTGTGTCTGTTCTTGTTTATTTAACCCAAATAGGCGGGAAGCATTGTTGTTTTGCTTGTTTTTTTTTCACTTTTCTTTCTGTGACATTGATTCATTTGATGATTTTATTTACTATTTATGTTGGTTTGAAGTGCTTGTGCTTGGTGTCATTTTGTATGCAGAGATGACATCATTTTTTTTCTCACCGGTCACCAGTTTTTATTCTGTCCCTCCACAGATCCAATGCATCAGTCTGTTTCTGCCTATTCCATGCATATCCCAACCCACACAGATGCACGCACATAATGATGACACTCTAGTGCAATCACTCTAATCCTTTTTTATCTCCTTTTTCTCTTTGTGCACCTTCCCTCTGCAGATTAAGGTGGTCAACGCTTTCCGTAGCTCCCTGTACGAGGGCCTAGAGAAGCCAGAGTCTAGAAGCTCCATCCATAACTTCATGTCCCACCCTGAGTTCACACCCCTGTCTGAGGAGGAAGTGCGGGTGCCCGTGATCGAGGAGAGCAGTGTGGAGATCGAGACACTCCCCTCTTCTTCCTCATCCTCCTCTGCCTCTCCCAGTAAGGGCGGGGGAGGCCAGCCCCCTGGCAACTCCACCTCCCTTCTCCGCAGCCACGAGTTCTCTGTCTGACCAGAGTCAGTCCACTTCTTCTTCCACCTGGTCTGCTCTTGCAAGCACCCACCCACTCCCACTCACCCCACCTCGCCTACCAACCCCACCCCGCCTTCCCAGTGCCCTCTTACCATGCCTACCGGACGTCAGGGTCTGCCGACTTACACCCTAAAGGCAGAGACCCAGGACGGGCAACGGGTCAAAGTGACCCCTTCTCCTCTCCTGGCCCCCTGCATCCCCCCCTCGTTTCCTCCTCATTGCACTGTGGTGTGTGGGCGCTCTGAAAGAAGTACGCATGCCGTCGCCCCGGCCTGTGCCACACGCACGGCTTAAACTCACCTACGAGAGGGCGGCTATTCTTCTCTCAGCCTGTCATTGACATTGTATCTCTTTTGCAGGTTTGTTTGTTTCTTTTTTTGACATTTTTATGCTATCTCCATGACTTATGTGTCCCAGGACATCTTCATAATGTTCGTTTTAACTTTCAGACATACAACTTGAAGCATACAGTACATGTGCAGTTATGCTGTTCATACATGGTTTTATTTCACTTACATCTTCTGGAGATTTTGAAACACATGGGCGACGTACATCACTATTTAGTAGTGTCTTTATAACTTTTGCCCCGTATTATTATTATTGTTATTATTATTATAATTATTATTATTATTTTTAAACTGCTACTTATATGGAATGTCTTAAGTGGTTCGGACACACTACATTCTTGTCATTTTTCAAATACATTCAGTCATGTATGATGTTCTTGAGTGTAGCTCATCCTTGGTTTGTCTCTCTTTAGTTTATTATTTTTGGTTTGCATGTGCAGACCTACAGCTGCTGCAGTGAAAGCAGAGCGAAAGAGTTATGAGAAAAGCATATTTGATTCCAGCTGGTTAGGAAGAGCGCCCCCTGTTTGGTGCAGAGAGGCGAGGTGGGCCAACCAACATCATCTCATCCCATCACGTCCACTGGGTCTCTAGTCTCTTGTAGTAAAAAAAATTAAAAAAAACAAAAACAAAACAGCGGCCCCTCCAACTGCCTCAAAAACAAAAGTTGTAATCTGACGCCCCTTATTGATTCAAGGTACAGCACGTCACCGTAGAAATGCATGTAACTTTCTGTAGTTTCACCTGTGTCTGACTTTATGAGAAATGGGTATTTTTTTTTTCTTTTCGGGTATAGTTCTTTTATTTTTTATTGGTTCACAAATGAATTGCGTGTGGGAGTGGGTGTGCCTGCATGTGTGTGTATGCGTGTGAGTGTGTTTGTGTACAATTTCAAATTCTGCCATTTGAGTCTTTTTTTTCTAGCTTTCTAATCATTTAATGTTCAGCTTTAGACTGTACCCGACGCTCTGCCCAAGGCATGATCAGTTGCAAAGATGACAACATGGGGATCCATGCTTGGCTCCACTGCCATTCCTAATACTCTTCCTACAAGTGTTGGGCTGCAGCACATAATCCACATGCTTTTTACTGTTTCAAAGAAGAGAAAATAAAAACCAAACAAAAAAATGCATAATTAACCAATGAGTATTATGCAACCCAAAGCCTTGGTCGAGCCCTGTGAATGGCCTGTTAGCGGAGCAGAAAGCCTGGATTACAAAGCATAGCTGCCAGCTTTTAAAAGAGCGTGGCATGCACGACATGTGCTTTTAATTACCAGAATCGTAGTACTGCCATATTCCAGTCCTATCTTCATACTGATCTAGGTTAAACGGAATCCTCGATATACTCCTTTTTCTACTTGCTCAGAGCCATATTTTATAGGTTGTTCTTTTATATCTCACCCCGCTTTATTTTCTGTGTTTTTCTTTGCTTTATATTTCCAGACAAAATCAAAGACGCCGAGAGTCACTGCCTAAAAAATAAATTAATAAATGAAATATATAAATAAATAAAAAGAAGACGACGGACCACTTCTCTGTTTACGGAACAAAGGCTGCAGCGTTTAGATGAAGCCGCACTTCCCCCTACTGGCAATTTCTGTTTTGTGGTTTTCTTCTGTTTTTTATCACCCTCTTTATTTCACTTTTAGTAAAAACATGAGGTATTACTGTGGGGAAGCATGTGTGAATTTCATATAAAGCTCAATGTTCTGTTCTTTTTTTACAATTGTTGTGTATTTTTATATTAAGTAACTTTTTAATATTTTGGAAATATATAAATTATAGGTGTATAGGCTTGGAAAGTCTGGTGACGTAACAAATTTAGTCTAGTAAGCCGTAGAGTACTTTTTTTTCTGGTTTTGTTTGTTTTTGGCACTTATGCTAACACTTATGCCACGTTCAAAACCAGGCTATGGCCGTGGATATGAGAAAGAGAACCTGACTTATTGTTTACTGTAAAGCCATGGGATGGGTCAGACACTAAGCTGAGACAGCTTTAAATGTCTTCTTGCCTGACCACGTGCAGTGAACGTGTTGGCCTGGGGAAAAAAGGTCTATGTGCATTGGCAAAATAAAAGCCTTTTAGAATGTAGGCTTGTTATATCTCCACCAAACTGGATACTTTATAAATGTTACAGAGACAATTGCATTGCTATGACTAGTTCTAATTAAGGATGTATGTTGATTCAAGTTGAAAGGAAATGATTAGAAGGCATATTTTCATCAAGTATGTACATTTACACTGTTTTGTTTGTTGAATCACAACATAATTTATTTTTATTTAGATTTTTTTTTCAAATATCATGGGCTGTTCCATTAGAAGATTTGAGTCCTACTCTGTTGCAATTATTAGATTCTGATGTGTTTGTGTGTATATATATATATATATATATATATATATATATATATATATATATATATATATATACACACACAAATACATGTGTATGTGTACATTTTTTTTGAACGTTTACTTCACCCATGTACCATGTGCTACATTCAGTGTAGTTTCAAAGATGAAAGCAGTCAGTGGTTACCAAGCAAAGCTTTAAGAAAGTTCTGCCAAAGTGTTGTTTTTGTACAACCATTACTTAATTTGTCATTTTAATGCTGTTCTTTCTCCAAGTTCAATTCCCTTCATAAAAATGTGCTATGTTGGTGATAGAACACTACTTTGCTCCCACACCTCATAGTCCTATTGAGAGTTATTGGTCAGTCCCTAAAGATGTTCAGGAGTGCTTGTGAAAGGAACTCTTAAGTTCTTTTTTTTCTCCCCTCTACATCTTTTGAACATTTAGCAACTGTACACTGATGTGAATCAGCCATTTGAATTTAAAATGTTAGTCCAGTTTAGCTCTGATAGCTCTGCAGGACAATTTGGTATTGCACAAGTCTGTCATTTTGCATAGTGTAAAAAAAAAAGAAAGTTATGGATGGTGTGCAATAACTTGAATTAGACCGCATTGCTACTCTACTGAAATTTGCTAATAGCTCTTGTACGGTTGGGAGTTCAGGAGTTGATACATCACAATTGTAAATAAAAGATTGCATTTTGAAACTGGAATATTAGTCACAACCACCTATTTTGCATAATTACGCAAGCGAGATCATGCAAACGTTGTATTTGTGAGGAGGACAAAAAAAAAAAGAAACAGAAAAACTCTGTACTTCATATGAATACAGTAATAAGCACTGGTGTTATTTTTGTATAAACATAATATCATCTATGTGGCATGCATGACTTATAAACAAATTGGTGGTTCAAAGCAATATGTACAACCTGGTGTGAGTGGTATTTCTAGTGTCCTGTGTTGCTTAAAAGAAAAATTCTTTAACTGTTCTATATATGTGTTCAATGTTCTGCATGATTAAGTATGGAACGAGACATCCCCGAATCTTTCCTTGTTCTCGGAACGAAAGCCGGCCCATGGCACGCACGCACTTCCTCTCACTTTCAATCACTGGGCTTTGTCTGAAGAAACACACACCGATAAGATGCTGTTTTCTGGGGGTACATTACGCTGATGGCAGGCGAAAAATGTCTCATTTGGTTTCCTTTTATTTGTTGTCAACAAATCACAAGAACAGTTACTTAATATACTGTGTCATAATTAATGGTAGTGGAGGCCGAAGAACGTATTTCATATATATATTCCACGTTCCACATGAAGTAATACTCCAGCATTTTTCAACCCGATGTGTAACTGCCACATCTGTAGAGGTTATTTCTGCCAGGCTTTTCTTTATTTTCCTCTCTGAGTCCATCTCTGGCAGCAGTATGGCAAAAGATTTGACTTAATATCTCAAAATTAAGATTTGTTTTCTTAAAATAATAACTTTCTTTAATATCTCATTGACTAATTTCTTTTTTCTTTTTTGAGAAAATAAATCATAATTTTGTACATACCAAAGTCAAATTATGAAGAAAAGTAGTTGTTTAGAGATACTAAGTCAAAATTTTTGGAGAAAATAACTCACTATTTTGAGATGCTAAGTTGACACTTTCAGAAAAGTTATTTTGAAATACTAAGTCATTATTTCAAGATATTAAGTCAATATTTAGAGAACACAAGTCATCATTTGGAGATACTAAGTCAGTTTTTAGGTCAACAAAGCCAAAATTTTGAGATACTGCTGTCAGGGAAGGACTGTTCCCACCCCCCAACGTCGCTTCTACCTAGCGAGAGTAGGCCTTCATACACAACTGTAGCATATGGGTGATTTAATGTGAAACATAATTTTGGCATGTTTATGTGCACTAATACAGATGCGGCACATACAGATTACTTTGAGAAATGTTGGCGAATTACTTTAATTAACCTTGATGTGTCCATTTCGTTACTTTCTTTCCATTAGCCACCATCTCCTTTAAATCTTGTTCCAGCTTTAACCTGTGCATGAGCCATCAAAGATGAAAGAAGCCATGAAACTGAAGTAATCAGGCAGGCTGATTCTTGCATGCGTGGAACAAGTATGGAAAGTTTGATTTTCTTTACCACGCCATAAAAAGAGAGAAATTCATTAAAACGGTGGGAACCTGTCGTTCATACCCAACTTCTGCTTCTAAATATGCAGTTTTTCACAAGCACCTCTTGCTCCATTAGTTTGTCAGCACTTTCAGTCCTTCATGCACATCATCAGATTTTTAAGAGCATGAGAAGCACTGGTTTGATACACAACATCAAAAGATTGTCCATCTGTACTTTGTTTTAGTTGTTTTGTGATTATTTCACAGATATATGAAAGTACCTGCAAAAAAATATTAATATATTGATACTGTTTTTTTAGTAACCGGCAATTACTGTGACTGGCTTTGGTCACTTGAATGTTTGTTTTTGTGATGCATGCCTTTCTGTAAATGGCCATTTTCAGTCTGAGGCAAAAACATGTAGTTCAGAACTGAAGGCAGGATGGGACTTCAATAACTTTGTACTTTCTTCTTCCCAGAAAGTGCAAACATTTCTGGATTAGAATGAGAGGAAAAATATTTGAAAAGGCAAAAAGCTGAAAAGCATGAAGTACAAAGGAAATTAAATGTCCAAGGACATCCAATAGCCAGGAGTTTTCACATTAGTTTTAAGCCTACTTTGAAGATCTTGCACAGACAAAAAATGATGCATTGAATTTGCTTGATTCAAAGGTCTCCATCATTTCCACATCAACACAATTATGGCCAAAATTAGGCAAATAAGATACTCATGTAATTTGTTCATGTGCACATTTGAATCACTTGAACTGAATACATCACTTTTTTCAGTGTGGCAAAAGTCTTCACTAGATTGTGAATTGCAGGCTAGTCTCTGTGGAAGTTACAGTGGAGGAATTTGCAGTCTTGGTTTACATCCTCTCTTTTTTCTTACTGTTTGAGATTCATGTCAGAGAGGTCACCATACTTTTGAGCCGAGTCATCTGTTTACATTTGCCACGGTGGTGGCACATTTAATGTGAGACAGTAATGTAATGTCTTATACTTTTTAATCCTCCAGTGTGCTGTCCTCCCAATCACTGAAGTGCCATTCAACGGCATGGAGCAAAACATACCACTGTGTCAGTTGCCTGAGAAATTGAAGATTTGCTTGGTTGAGTAGCCAAGATTGAACGATGAAGTTCATTTTAGGTTAAAGTGGGCAGCTGCATTTGCCTTAAATGCTGCTGTAAAAAAAAAGAGCATTCTTAGTAAAAAGCTGGGTGATTTCAGACAAAAGTGCTTTCTGATTGTTTCGTGTGGCCGGTTATGTGCTAGATGGGCAACTTCTCTGATACTTTTTGCCCCAGTCTCTCTGTTTACAGTCCAGCTACATCTGCCCAGTCTTGTCCAGATGACAGAGAATCTGTAATACAAACCTTAAGGGCTACAAGGTGACACTAAGTCACCACATGTGTTTGAATCTGTTAATAAATGATAAAGTCCGATCCATGGAGCATAGTCGAGCACAGCTGACTCCAGTGAAATTATCATTTAACTTTTTCGTAAATCATTGTTACTTCAGGAGAGAGGCCTCAGCTAGATTGTGTGTATGTGTGTATATTCAAATGGTTACATATAGCCTATTGCCAGTCATAAACGGCATCTTTTGTCGGTGTGTGTTTCAGCTGCCAAAAATATAACATTTGTTAAACCCTCCCCATAGCACCTCCCTTTTTGTAAATATAAATCCTTATCATGCCAAATTGTCAGTCCTGTTTGCTTCCAACTATGCAACAGATTTATTGATTTTGAATAGAATTATTTTATAAAATTATTTATTATCTCCTAATGACTCCTGTCAAGTCTTTCTATCTCAATCTCTCCCTACCACCCTACCACACACCCACCCACCCACCCACTCCTTTTTTTTTCTGTCTGCGCTTTTTCTCTTGTCTCGGTGGACACAGTCATGCCCATTTTTCATCACTTTATACTAACAAAACGCAAGTGTATTATGTATGTATGTATGTATGCGTGTGATGTGCACACATTCAAATTTTTCTTTACTCTTTTGTAATATATGATCATGTGGAATGCCTTGTTCTTTATGTCCTGTCGTTTGAAGTTAACAGAACAAAGGAAAAAATGATAATCAAGCAATTGAGGTCAAAGTTATATAAACTATATATAAATATATATATAATATATTATATATAAATATATAAATAAATAAAGCCATTAGGATTTGAAATATATTGAGAGTGATTTGTTCCTTTTTTTTCCTTTAATTGTTGCATCAACCAGTGAAATATAGTTTTCTATTTGGACGCTTTTATTTTGAAGAGAAAAAGGGCCGAGTCTTTTTTTTAACTCGATTCTTACACTTCGGATCTATGGAATTGTGAATCGATTCTTTGTGAATCTATTCTTTTGCAACCGCCTACGTCCATGCGCCGCACCACGTCAATGGTAGCTAGTAAGCGGCTAGATGCGCATAGGCTGGCTAGAAACAATATACAGAAGCCTCTTTCATTATCCGTGGGACTGCTTTGAGAGTGCCAACAATGTAACCCTTCACTAATTCCAAGGTGAGTTGTTTTTCTTTACTTGCATCGCTGGTATCGTTGAAAGGCTATATTTCGACCGTTTTTTTAGCTAAATAGCTAGCTTAGCTAGCGTGTAAACAAACTAGTAGGTTTTATGCTCCTAGGTTAGGGAGCGAGGTTATCTAGCTAGCTAGCGCTCACGTTAGTTGGCTAGCTAGGCTATTAGCTAACCAAGGTAAAACTTAGAAAAACTTTAAAGATTTAACGTGGTCCGCAGGCGCCATTAGCTACGTTTTATTTCGTTTCATAATACTTACGTAACCGCGGATAACTAACATTAAGTTAGCAAGCTCGGGAAGCTTTCAACTCAGAATGTAACTTAGCTAACCAGGCTAAGTAGCTCGCTACATTAGCCAGCTGTTAGGTGACAGGTGGTAAGTGCGATTCAGTAGCTAACGCTAACTAGCTAACTGTTTAGCATCGGATCACGTATCAATGGCTCGTTTTCAACGTTAACGTTAGTTGTTGATGTATCTGCTATAGATAAGGTATAACGGCCTAACGTTAGCGTAACGGCATCTGTTTCAGACAGAGTAGCGGCGCGTGCTAGGTTAACTTTCCTCTTCATTCTGAAAGGTTTATCCGTAGCCACAGATCTCAGTTCTACAGTCAAGCTTTACTTTCCATGAGTACTTTTATTATTCACAATGATAAAATTGTGGTTATATTTTATTTTTCTCATGATTTGTAATCGAGAGATTAAGTGTGGAGAATGAAATGCCCCGCTAGCTGTGACGGCTGTCTCGTTTCTGTCTCCCTGGACATAGGAACCAAGCCCATTTTCTCCAATGAAAAGTGGTTTTCTGATTAGATCTGATGTAACTAACGTTATCGAAAATAGGAGCAGATTGCTTAACACGTCTTTATTAAATGAGCAGTGAATACTTAAAACGTTACATCTGTCTGTTCTGAAATAGGCAAAATCAATATAGGTTCGTTTCCCGTTAAGCGTCTAACTGACATTATTGATGAACAGTGTCAATAGTAGGTGCCACGTTTGTGGATATTAAGCAGTGTGCTTAAAAGCGCGAAAGTGGGAGCCTCATAAAGTCCAGCATATCTAGGTCAGTGGGCTGATGACAGTAGAACGTGGGTGGCCAGCATTATAAGCTAGCTGAGGCAGGACCGATTGCCATTTTATGCTTTTCCAGGGCAAGACAACATGGCTGGTAAGATTATTATGATTTAAAGTCAAAACGCGACTTTTTTTTTCTTTCGTAGTTAGCCAGCTATGACCTCCCTGTCATCATCCCTGCACCCAGGGTCAAACTCAACATGCAGAGCCCTGCCGGGGAGAGGGAAGTCAGGTAAGCTTGTCTTGTGTTTGTTTTTTGCAGAAAAATTACTTATATTTAATGCTTAAAAATTTTAAAAACGTAACTTCTTGGTGATACAGGTTCAGCCTAAGGCCCCCCTCCTGCAGATTCTTCGGGTAGCAGGAGCTCAGGAGGAGGTGTTCACTCTGAAGGAGGTTAGTACTAGTCTTTGCACCAGTCTAGTGGTTCTCAAACTGGTTCCATCACACAAGGAGAGAGCAAAAGATATGGGCCGTCTGGGGGTCCCTGAGAACTGATGTGAGAACCATTGCATTTTTAAAATTGTGGGGCGTTGTTGTTCCATGTTAAGCTGAGATGCTTCTGTACAGGGGGCGTATCTTGCATTAATATATACAAATATAGATAGATATAGATATAGATAAATGCAGTGGGTTTTGCAAAAACAGACTGTTTTGTTTTTTTTTTAAAAGTTTGAAAAATCATGTTTTCTATGATTTGGGCCCTTTTAAACTTGGGATTTTACAGTGCAGTGTGAGCATAACCCCAGTTGCATATTAATCAGGTATCCCATTGGTTTTCACAGGTCATGCACTACCTTGGCCAATACATCATAGTGAAGGAATTGTACGATAAACAGAGACAGCATATTGTGCATTGTCAAGATGACCCACTTGGAGAGCTGTTGGAGGTGGAGAGTTTTTCTGTTAAAAACCCCAGGTGAGTTTATACCTGCTGTGAGGTGAAAATTGTATAACGTAAAGGAAAGAGCAGTTAACTAATGCAGTGTTCCTAAATTGATAACACAAGTTAATAGGCTACTGTCTATTTCACAGCCCTGTCTATGAGATGCTGAAGAGGAATTTGTTTATTTTGAATTGTTCGGGTAAGTGGACTGCATGTGTTAGTCAGTGCATTAATTATATGTACATATTTATCTAAATTGACTGACTGATTATTGTGTAAATCAGAATTTGGATTGTATGCATGTATCCTTGAGATATTGAACTCTGGTGACGTGCTCATGTTTTGTACTGCCCTCTGAGCCAAGGCATCATTTTATTTTGCTGCTTTTCTCCCCAACACTGACCTCCTTGCCAGTTTTTTTATTTACGTTTTATTTTTGTATTTTTTTGGTTTGTTTGTTTGTTTGTTTGTTTTTATTTATTTATTCATTTGTTTGTTTGTTTGATTTATTTATTTATTTATTTATTTATTTATAAGTTTTGTGTGAGCGTGTGTGTTTGGGGCATATGATTGTAGTTTTAAACCTTGTCTATACATTTTCTTGTTACGTCACTATTATATTAATGAGGTTACAGAATAGTATTCAGTGTTTCCCCTAGATTTTTTTCAGGCCAAGTGATGTCATTCATGTTAAACTGTATACTTGGTGTTGTCAGAAGTATCATCACACAGAATTGTTAAAATATTTTAATAGTAGTTTAATATACACATTAATAGTAATAATAATAATAAACATTAATAATAAGCTTAATGTCAGTACGTTCAGTTTTACATTCTCTACACATTTTCTAGAAGTGCAGTTATTGATTAGGAGCTTGTTTATAGTCAGTTAATGGATATCTGAAGAATTCATGTGAGACTGAATGCAGTATAATTTGCATGTTGTTATAGAAACCTGTAAGAATAGCGTTAAAAGCACCTAAAACCAACACTAAGTACTACTTGCATTGTCAGGTCTGGTAGTGGGCGGTATACTGATTGAAATTCATAGGTTTGCTTGAGCATCTAAAATGGTTTTATTAGAAAATATGCACCAACCAGCCACTTCATTAAGTACACCTTGTACGATCTACATGCATGGTCTACTTACCATATAGGTGCACTAATTGTAGAATTGTAGTTCTACAATTACAGACTGTAGTCCATCTGCTTCTCTGCATGCTTTGTTAGCCCCTTTCACCATGTTCTTCCATGGTCAGGAGCCTCACGGAGCTGGTATTATTTGGGCAGTGGATCGTTTTCAGAGCTGCTTTGACACTGACATTGTGCTGGTACGAGTGGATCAAACCCAGCAGTGCTTCTGGAGCTTTTAAACGCCTCTCTATCATTGCTGGACTGAGAATAGTCCATCAACCAAAAATATCCAGCCAACAGCATCCTGTTGGCAGCGTGCTGTGACCACTCATGAAGGAGTCGAGGATGAAAAATGCAAACTGTGCTGTAAACTGTGCAGCAACAGATGAGCTCTTGTCTCTGACTTTACATCTAGAAGGTGGACCAACAAGGTCAGAGTGTCTAATAGAGTGGACAAGTGAGTAGACACAGTGTTTAACACTGGGTCTGATATACTTGTACCAGCAGAACGCTCACTAACACGCCACTACCATGTCCGTTTCACTGCAGTGCTAAAATGGTCCACCCCCACATAATACTTGTTCTGTGATGGTCCTGACCATTGAAGAACAGGGTAAAAGGGGGCTAGCAAAATGGACAAAGAGTGTAAGTACAAGGTTGGTTTGTGTATGTATACCATGATATATATATATATATATATATATATATATATATATATATATATATATATATATATATTATATATATATATATATAAATATAAATAAATATAAATTATATGATTAGTTCTGGGTTACAGATGCCACTCCAGCTCATTCCAAAGGCCAAAGGTATTGGATGGTGCTCCATCACTCCAGAGAATGCAGTTCCACTGCTCCATGGCCCTGTGCTTTATACTTCTCGACAAATTACACTGGGAGACCTCAGGTTCATGCACGGCTGCTCCAGAATGTCCCATGCTTTTGGCAGTGCTTTTCTATAAAGGTTACGCAAGTTCTTTGAGTGCCACTGAACACTGAACAATGGGAGCACCTGAATTCACTAATTCAATAGCTGAGTTCACTAATTAGAAGAGGTGTCTGGATACTTTTGGATATATAGTGTATAGTGTAGCTGTAATCCTAAAGTAAATTGATCGCTTATATGTGTTAACATAGCTCTAGCTGTTTTTCTCATTGAGTTTAGTGTCTTTTGTTCTTACCTGTTGAGGAGTATTTCAGTAAAACTAGCCCAACTGTATTTTCAGTTTGCAGAAAAAAACTTGGTTTCTTTAAGAACCAGAACATTCTGTGATTAAAGTCTGCCGTATCTAGACACTGCTCCTCTGCCACAAGCCAGCTTACTTCTGCTGCACACTGCAGTATCAGTGATAGGGTCTACACAGGACTTGGAATCTGAAATTAGTGCGTCTTTACATTTGAAAATAGATTGAGAATTGTATTTCTGCCAATAAATGAGCATGTACCACACAAAAAAAAAATGTTAGGAAGCCAACTTTAGCTTACCAGTTACATCCTAATATCAAGGTTGGGCAACAGCACCACACTTGTACATTAGCCAGGCGGACCACTTGGCTTAATTAATGATAGGGGAAACATTGTTTTTTAACACTCTTCTGCCATTTAGTTTTTTTTTGCCAGATCTGACTAATGGCATGAAGTGTCTCTCAAACATATGAATGAATGCTGTGTGCTTGGTTAACAAAGGGCAGGTTTTTTGTTTTTTCTTTTTGTTAGTTATTATGTCTCATTTGAAATGCAGACGCTGCAAAGAATCTTTCAGTCGGCAAGGATTCTAATGAGTCTCCCTGTGAAGATCCCGGTCAGGTAAAGCGACAGCATGGTGCATAGGAGAAACGCTGCTCAACGGCCCCTTTCATGGCAAACAGCTGTCGTAGCAGAGAGATCATAAATACCCCTAATGATGATTCAGCTTGGCTGTCTGTTTAACTCATAGGCTGACAGAAGTGTCAATACATTTGTGAAGGTATTTGGATGAGGTTTAGGTATATTTGGAAAGAGCTGGGAAGGAGCAAAATAATGTTAGATGTAGATGTGCTATGTAAAATTATACCTGTAATGATTTTGACACTTGTTTCAGCCTGTTATTGGAAAACTTTTTTGCCCTAATCCTCAATAAGCTAATAATTTTATCTTGATCAGTTGCCTAAGAAAGTCTCTTGCCAAATTGAATTTGCTAAGATGCATTTTACAGTTCTAAATCCTCATAGTCTTAGGCCATTTCAGGCAGTGCGTGCTGTTGTATTTCTCTTTGGTAGCTAGTGAGCCAAGTTGAGGTTTGCCATGAGAGGGGGTGGAAGAGCAGCTGCCTCCATCAGACGTGTCTGTACAGAGTGGCACCGTCTCTGTACGTCCCCATGGCCAGCTTTGCCTGGTGGTCTTGGGGAAGGGGAAAGAGCCACCAGCGTGAGTTTGGCTAATGGGGAAACAGAGTCCCTGTCTCTGTTTGTCACTCAGAGTTTCCTTCTCTGCTTGGTCGATTCTACCGGCAGGACAGCAGCTCTTTTTTCCACTCACTGGCCTTCTCCATCCTATCCCCCTCTATCCCACACCCTTCCATCCATTAACACATCTTAGGCAATTTGCCATGGCCAGGGGTTCACTCAGGAGTGTCACGGTGTAGATTAGAATCTGGGATGGGTGATGAAAGAGAGAGTTTGGTGTCAAGAGCCTGGCAGTTATTCTTTTATTGATGCTTACAGTGGCCACACCTTTTGGGAGGGGATGGTTAGTGCAGTGTTTAGAATGTAAGAACACTTGAAAAACAGCAAAAATTTGCATGGTATGCACTTCTGTTGAAAGGTGTGGCCACTTTTGAGTTGCATATTTCACTTGACGCAGTGCATTGATAGTATTAACAACAATTTTTTTTAACATCTCTTGAATGCTGCTAGGCGATCAGATTAATGTGTGTGCTTTAAATTACTGCCTTCTTCTTCTGACATTAGCAGCAGTGTTTTTAGGAGTAAAGCTGTATGGTATTTTTGATCCTCTGAGGGTTTGTTTGGCATTTGAAACCTACAACATAGGTCCCTTTCTCCCATTTCCCGTTTCCCTCTGTCCCCTGTGTGTGTGGCTTTCTGTAGCCACATAACAAGGCCTCTGCAGTGGAGGAGCTGCTGTTCTGCCTGTTACCACACTACTGCAGTAGGCACTAATCCAGCCTCTCCTTCGCTGTGTAGGTGTCTAGCAGGACATGTAGCTCTAGCCAGGGCTTTAGTGCTGGCGGTGCCAGTGCCTGCACCACACAGAACTCCTCACAGCGCAGACCGCGGGATGCGGATGACGGTATGTACACACACCCACACACATGTGCAGCATGTAATGTATTTGTACATTTCTTAATTATTTCAGTAAAAAGACATTTTTTGAGTGACAGTCAAGGATTATGACACCTGGGACTTATTCCACAAAGCGTGATTATTCCTTGGCCAGCTAGCATTAAACTTACCTTGATCTAACTCTGGATTTGTATTTAGTTATTTTTGTCTCACAACAGTGGATTTTTTTTTTAACCAGATAGGAAGTTATGCTGTAGGCCAGGGGTGTCCAACCTTATCCTCAGAGGGCCAGTGTGGCTGTGGGTTTTTATTCTAACCAAGCAGGAAGACACCTGATTACATTTGTGTAATCAGTTGGTGTCAAACCCTTACATCATGTCCTTTTGCTTTGTTGAAATGATTGGACACTGCTGCTGTAGGCTTTACCTGCTCCGTGGTAGGGTTGGGCATTTCAGTTAAATTTGATATTCAAATTGGTAATGCTTTATTTGAATAAAAAAGTATAGGACTCTTAAGCCTACAGGCTACCACATGCTGGCCAAATGAGGTGGAAACACACAATCCCTCTCTGTTACTGTACTATATTAAACCCAGAACCAGACAACAAATCTATAGTAGATGACATGCGATTTGATATTTGCACTGAGAAAGGTGACCATCTAAAGTCTTTAAGATAGACAAATGTTAAGCGACTGTTATCAACTTGGCTACCGTTACTAGTTCAGTCGCATCGCATTTCACCTCATACCTTTTAGCTCAAAAACGAGTTTGTGAATGGTTACTTAGCTGAGACTAAATCTAATAAATGCAATAAATGACATTTAGTTTATTTAATATTCTGTTAAATTTATATGAGTAAAGCATAAAATGAACTTGAGGTTCATGTTTTAGCGCTTTTTCTGCAACACTTCCTATGTGCTGTAGATGCGATTTGTACTGTCTGCTAGCTGGTGCCTGTGAGGGACCCTCTGCTGTTACAGTGCTTCTCCTCTGGTATGCGGAAGGCTGTAGCCAGCTGCAACAGAATTTCTATGCCTTCTTTTTTGAACTAAACAGATAAACTTTGACCTAGATGTAAGACAGTGGTTCTGCACTGCCCTCTGGTGGAGCATGAAGTTCACACAGCTCATAGTTCTGAGCTGAGAACGTATACCATTAGACAGAAGCTAATTTTCGTATCAAGAATCCTTTTTTTTTTTTTTTACTTTCATGACTTCTTATATTGAAAATTCTGAAGCAAAAACATAGAAAATTATTGCTATTTAGTGGAGAAACAAGGCATCTTACCACATAAATATGAAGAATATAAAAGGGCTGCAGTGGTAACACCATTGCAACACTGACAGTGTTGCATTGCACTAGTACAATTGCTTTACCCTCTTTATGTTTACATAGTATGAATCGGAAGCTTAATCATTGCTTGAGTATCTAAACCTGGATCAATGGCAAAAGTTGTTAACTGCAGTTGCATTTTTAGGTTTTGTGCAGCTGAAACTGAGTCAGGAGCCCTGTCACTTCTACTGGCAGGACAGCATCTCTGTTTTCCGCTCACTAGTTGCCTTCTTCCTCTCTCCCTTTATCAAAAACCCTGCCATCCATCACTACACCATAGGTGTTTAGCCTCAGCCAGTTGTTTACTTAGCAAAGCCTTAGAGTAGTTAAGGATGGCATGATGAGTTTGGTGTCATAAGCCAGATAGTTGTTTTTCATTCATTCTTGCTGTGGCTACATCTTTTGGGAGAGGATGGATGGAGTATTGTGCTCTGTCAGAATTGAACATGCTTTGTGAGACAGGTATCATTTCATTTAGAAAGTTGAACTCAGAGCTGTTGACAGTGCAATGGACATTACATGGATTTAGTGTCTAATTTTTGCCCCATTTGTTGAAATTGCCTACAGACTCTTTAGATGGGTTGCCAAGATCAGCCTGCAAGCGGCCAAAGCTGGATGTGAGCCTTGACGAGTGGGACCTGTCCGGTCTACCTTGGTGGTTTCTGGGTAACCTGCGCAGTAACTACACACGCAGGAGCAATGGCTCAACAGACATCCACACAAATCAAGTAAGAAGGACAAGCTAACACACAATGAATGAATGGATTTTTCAGGCTTTTTTAGACATCTATTAAATCAAGGTAGAAAACAGAAAAAGACAACATTCTGCTTGATTGTTTCTCATTGTGGCATTAACATGAGGACTCAGTAATAAATTAGATTTTGCTCACTTATATATGTAGTTTTAGTGTAAAACTATGAAAGCACAGTAATTTGTTCCATGCAACTGGACTGAGGAAGCAGGTGTCTCCCGGGCAGGAGGAGGACACAGCCATTGTTTCGGACACCACGGATGATCTGTGGTTTCTGAACGAAGCTGAGAGTGAGCAGGTGAGTGTGGAGATGAAGGAGGCAGCGCTGGAGCAGGGCAGTGACGCAGAGTCCCCTCAGGAGGAAGAAGAGCAAGGGAGGAATAGCAAGGAAGACAAAGAGGTAAAGGGTGCCACTCCACCACCACGTTCATTTTTATTGACATGTCTGTGTGGAATTAGATTGTATTCAGTTGTGTGGTCTCCTGCTTACATCTTTTTAATGCAGTGTTCTCAGATGCAAGAAGAGTTAGATGATGACTCCCAGTGTTTGAGTGATGATACAGACACGGAGATCTCCACACAGGTAAGTGTTTTTTGAGGTATGGAAAGCACAGCATTCACACATTGTTTCTAATGTGCTTTCTTCTACAACCATGTTTATTTTACAACACGCCGTAAGCGGTTGGGAACTGAGGAGTTAAATATTGTCCCATTCTTACTTCATATAGGATTTGAGCTGCTCAACAGTTCAGGGTCTCCTTTGTCTTATTTCTCATTTCATAATGTGCCAAATGTTTTTAGTGGTGACAGGTTTGGACTGCAGACAGGCTAGTTTAGTTTCTGAACTCTTTTACTACGAAGCCATGCTGTTGTAATACGTGCAGAATGTGGTTTGGCATTTTCTTGCTGAAATAAGCAAGACCTTCCCTGAAAAAGACGTCAAATATTGCTCCAAAACTTGTGTATATCATTCAGTGTTAATAGTGCCTTCACTGTTGTGCAAGTCACCCATGCCATGTGCACTAATGCACCCCAATACAATCACAAATGCTGGCTTTTGGACTGTGCGCTTAACACGCCAGATGATCCCTCTCCTCTTTAGTGTGGGGGACACAGTGTCCATGATTTTCAAAAAGAATTTCAAATTTTGAGTCAAGGCCAGACAAGGCGGCAGTGTTTCTGGATCTTGTTTATATATGGTTTCATCTTTGCATTGTAGAGTTTTAACTTCCATTTGTGGATGCAGCAACGAACTGTGTCAATGGTGACAATTGTGGTAACACTTTCTATGAATGTCACCTTTGTAAGCATCTATAAACACATTCATAACATGTTATAATGCATCCATAAGGCATTATAAACATGGCTATAAATATTTATAAAAATGCATTACACATTATAGCCATGCTTATTATGAGTTGTATTTGTCAGCTCTAAGTAAAGTGAAGCATACTGTACTAAAGCCTCCTCCAGTGTTAAGGGTGAGGCTACAAGTAGAAGGATTTACTGAAACACTAAAACATACACAATAAAGCACATTACAGGCTTCAAATGTCAGATTATACACTAGTGCTGCCATCAGTGTTTTACCCAACATGGGAAAGTCAATGTACACCACCGTTAGCTTGGTATTTGTCTTTACGCTCTCCAAGCTGGGACTGACTTCTTTGGCACTGACAGTATAACATTTTATCAACACTACTGCATTATATTAACAATTCATAATGTATAATAAACATGACTATAAAGTGTAATTCATTTTTATAAATGTTTATAATCATGTTTATAATGTCGTATGAATGCATTATAACATGTTATAAATGTGTTTATAGATGCTTACAAACGTGACATTCATAGAAAGTGTTACCACAATTGTTTTTGGAAATGTTCCTGAACCTTTGCAGTGATTTCCACTACAGAATCACATCTGTTTTTAATGCAGTGCCCAGAGATTACAGCCAGCCAATAGTGGTTTTGCAGAGATTTCTTCGGATTCTCTTAAACTTTTAATGACATTATTTACCGTAGATGAGATTTCTTTTGCACTATTTGCCAGCGCCGTCTTTCAGTGTTGAACCCCTCCCTATTTACTTCTGAAAGTCAGCCTCTCTGGGATACGTTTTTGAAGCGTGTCTGCATTTATGTGCGATACGTTTTAGAAAGCAACAGTGGGTAAAATTGCTTTTGCACTGCCCTGTCCCTGTAACGGTTAAGTCACGTAATGGGGGACTTAATGCAGATCAACCTCATCAGGCTAAGTGGCCACAGACAAAACTGTTTCTGACTGTAAAGTTTGTGTGACAGTCACCATTTCATTCTTTGTTAGTAGATTAATTACATTCTCATGGATCGTTAAACTTTATAGCATACCACAATCACAATTTTCTTGACAAAGATTAAGCTTCAACTCACCCACTATCACTTTCTTTGTGTGTGTGTGTCTGCTTATGTGTTAGGATAGTCTCAAAGTTGTGTAGATACTTTGTGGAAATTATTCTTCGTTTAACTGTTTAGCTTAACACGGTTATTAACCACATGGTTACACGAATAAGAGGATTCTGTTACTGCCACAAGCCTACTTCTACCTGTCTCTTTTCTATCACATTTGCTTACTTGTGTGGCTTTAAACCAAGGATCTCTTCTTGCTGCAGGATGCATGGCAGTGCACTGAATGCCGCAAATTCAACTCTCCCCTGCAGCGCTACTGCATGCGCTGCTGGGCCCTGCGCAAGGACTGGTACAAAGACTGCCCCCGCCTGGTCCATTCCATCTCAGTCCCTGACATACCTGTCTGCAGCTCCCACCCCCAGGGCCCTGAAGATGAAGATGAGGATGACGGCATCGACGTGCCTGACTGCCTGAGGACCGTGTCGGACCCCGTCATCCTCCCCTCACACCAGGTCGCCCGCAACCTCCCCCCTTCCTCCTCCTCAGCCAAGGGGAAGGCCCCCTGCCGGCCGCTGCAGAGCTCCCAGGAGAGCTCGGAAGGGGACAGCCAGGACATGCTGGATGGCGAGACCAAGTGTCGACAGGAGGCCATGTTGGAGCCATGCAGGCTGTGCCGCATCCGGCCCCGCAACGGCAACATCATCCACGGCCGCACAGCCCACTTGATCACCTGCTTCCCCTGCGCACGAAAGCTGCACAAATTCCACGCTCCGTGTCCTGGCTGTGGCCAGATCATCCAGAAAGTCATTAAGACTTTCGTTGCCTGATGGAGGCAGGGAGCTGAGCAATGGTTTGCGTATAAAACACACACACTTGCAAAAGGTGTATAGAGCTCTTATACTGTAAATATTAAAGAAGGCGTGAAACCTTGGGCCAAAAATGCATGACTAATGCAGCATAACTGAATATCTAAATTTATATTAAGTATAATTAATGGAATTGTCAGGTTCTGTCTTATATGAACTTTGGCTCAAACAGATTTTTTTGCTCTTATATTTGCAAGCACAGCATGTGTAACAAAGAGATGCATGTTTCTGAGCTGCTTCAGTCAGGTGAAGGTGATGAAAGGGCATGCATGTTTTGGTACTAGGCGTGAACTCCCAATGAATACACCATATAACTAAATGCCTACCCAAAAAATATACTTTTAAAAATCACCTTTGTTTTTAGATGGCTTTAACTTTAGCAACCCTACTATTAAGGGATTTTTTTTTGTTGTTGTTGGGGGGAGAGTTTCAAAATGGAACACAGGCAGTTGTAGTTGCAGAGAAGCTTGTCACACAGTTGTAGTATCCTAACATTGCTGTCTGAACAAAACTTTTTTTTGACCAACTGTTTACATTGTCAAAATTTCAAGACTGATAAACCAGTATAAATGATCCATAATGACTTGTGCCATTAACTTAGTTGGAAGTTATGTTTTTTTCCTTCTCCTGTAAAATTACTTTTCAGGAGATATGCGTTTTGTTCCGAAAGTAACAGTAATTCACTTGGTGGAGGGAGTTTAAACTGGTAGTTGCTAACTATTTGTTTTATTTATTTATTTATTAACATAGTTAACCAGTTCAGGGTGTTATCTTTGAGTTTGCTGTCTAGATTGACTAGTTCAGCACATTGATTGTGAGACACAACCACAGTCGTGTTTGGTTATTTTACAGAGAGTACTCAAATAGTTCTCATTAGTTAGCGATTATTCACTGAGAATGACTGGTGCCTTCTGGGGTTACAGAAAGTAGCACTTTTTACAGTTCATCCTTTAATATCTGAATGTCTGTGGTCTTGCAAAAACCAGTGGTATTATAAATGTGTGCTAAAAAAACCTATTTACCGCAGCCTCTGCTAAAAGGTGCTGAGATAAGTGGCTTGCAGGTCTCGTGATGCTTCTGCACTTTCAGATTGAACAGACTTAAAGCTGTCAGGTGGTTGATGACTTTGCCTTCTCGTTTCAGTGCTTGGTTCCAGTGCAGTTTCTTTTCGTCATCACCTTCTTCTTAAGTTTCAGTCCTGGCTTTGCCTGAGCACCACTGAGCCGTGACCGTGAAGCACAGGATCTATCAGACCCTATTTGGGCCAACACTGCCTTTCCTTCGCTCTTGCTTGGTGCCTTCCTTTCTTACCCAGTCTCTCCTTTAGGCTTTACCTGTACAGGAAAGAAAGAGGCCAGTATTGGGGAGGCTGAAGCTTCAGTGCTAGAGACGACTGCCTATGCTAACTTTGTAAGGACCTCAAGATCTTTCAGCGTTAGAGGGACTAATTGTCTTCAACTCGCCCTTTGTGTACAATTTTCATTTTCCTGCTTTTGAAAATGTTTTGTTTGAAGTTGTAACCAGTGCTGCTGTTGTATGGGAAAAAAAAACATGTTTTAGTGCTTCATTTAGCTATAATTAGAGTTTATGCAAGGTTAAGGCATTAAAAGAATACTTTTCTTTTTCTTTTATTTCTCTCTCTCCCATCTGGTCCTGTTCACAGATGTGCAGCTTATGTTTTACGTACCTAAACGGAGTGCTCAGTTGCTTCTGTTTGTCCTTCTATTGCTCAGATTGTTCTCTGTTTGCAGTTTATGGTGAACTGTCTAATTTGTGTGCTTTCCCTCTTGAGAAGTCTTCGTTTGATTGCTCAACACAAGTGGCATCCATGGCAGAAGCATAGTGGAGGATTGTACTGACTCTCGCCACCAGGGGGAGATATATGGTTAGGATTTTCCATACCTGTACAAACACAGCGCCGCTGCTTTTCACCTTGCTAGTTGATGTGGAAGTGTATGCAGAAATGTCGTTTCTACTTAAGGACTCATGTAAAGTATATATTGGGGATGTGAGAGCTATATTAGCTATTTGTGTAACCGTCCCCAGAGTCATACATTTGAATTGTGTTATGAGGTGTGAACGCTGTATTTTAGCCTCATTATGCCACATGGTATTTAACCTAAGAGGATATATTTGTGCTAAAGTCACTGCCATAATTATTGAAGTTTATGTTTGTACATTTTGTTTGTTTTCCTCAAACATGGGTTCTGCTTCAGAACATATTTCCTGCTTATGAGCAGCATTTGTGTGTTTTTAGTTCAATAAATAGTGCAACGTGAAGGTAAACAAAGTCTCTTTTCTTTTGCGTCAAGGTGCTGTCTTTAAACGGCCTGTATCCAACTTTTTTCTTTTACTTTAGTATTTTATTTTTCCCCTGAGGTAGCCATAGGACATTTGTGGGGTATTGTCTACCCAAAACAGTTCATTTTAATATATAATTGAATTTGGTATAGGATAACTTCCCTTTTCCATTTTTTTTTCTAAAAGTGAGCCAAATCTAGTTTTGAAATACATTTTTTAAAATTTTCATTGAATGTCTATGGTCTAAAATTACCACTTTTAATGAGGTATGTTTTTAGGAGAGGGCTTTACATATGCTAAAATTATTTAAAAAATTCTTCTTGAATTGAAAACGTAAAGCTGGACGTTTGGGGTAAGAAGTTCCCCTAATATACCCTCCCCCAAGCTTTCCCCTAAGAAATGGGCCAAAAGGCCCCTTTAGCATATTGACAAAAATATACTATTATGTGTTAGATTTTCATGATATAGATATGAAGTTGGTAAATGCTGTATTTGATATTGTAATCTTTAGCTAGAATTGGGTAACATTTACAGCTGTCTTGCTAGAGATGAGTTTGTATGGTGAATTCTGCAGCTCAGAGTTACTTCCACACATTTTGTCATGTCTATAAATCATTTGCACTTACACTGATCGGGCATGACATAATGACCACCTCCTTGTTTCTATGCTCGTTGTCCATTTTATCAACTCCACTTACTACATAGGTGCACTTCGTGGTTCTACAATTACAGACTATAGTCCATCTGTTTCTCTGCATGCTTTCTTAGCCCCCTTTACCCTGTTCTTCAGTGGTCAGGACCCCCATGGACCATCACAGAGCAGGTACTATTTGGGTGGTGGATCATTCTCAGCACTGCAGTAACACTGACATGGGGGTGGTGTGTTAGTGTGTGTTGTGCTGGTCTGAGTGGATCAGACACAGCAGTGCTGCTGGAGTTTTTAAACACCTCAGAGTCACTGCTGGACTGAGAATAGTCCACCAACCAAGAATATCCAGCCAACAGCGTCCTGTGGGCAGCGTCCTGTGACCACTGATGAAGGACTAGAGGATGACCAACACAAACTGTGCAGCAGCAGATGAGCTATCATCTCTGACTTTACATCTACAAGGTAGACTACCAAGGTAGGAGTGTCGAATAGAGTGGACAGCGAGTGGACACAGTGTTTAAAAACTCCAGCAGCATTGCTGTCTGATCCACTCAGACCAGCACAACACACACTAACACACCACCACCACGTCATTGTTACTGCAGTGCTGAGAATGATCCACCAGCCAAATAGTACCTGCTCTGTGAAGGACCTTGGGGGTCCTGACCACTACAGAACAGGGTAAAAGGGGGCTAAAAGTATGCTGAGAAACAGATGGACTACAGTCTGTAATTGTAGAACTACAAAGTGCACCTATATAGTAAGTGGAGCTGATAAAATGGACAATGAGAGTAGAAACAAGGAGGTGGTCATAATGTTATGCCTGATCGGTGTAACAATTAAGTCTTTAGTGCTGTTGCTTTGTTTAAGTTGTTAGTGTTACAATAATTGCTGTAATTATAATACATTTACATGTCAATGCATAGGTAATACAGTCACAATAACTACTTAGTTAATGACAAACATTTCAAATGTTTGTTTTAATGTAACTTTTGTCATAGTTCATAAAAAATAAGTGGAATCAATAAGAAACTGATAAAGGCCTCAATTTAATTTTAAAATATTTTTAGTCTTGTATTTTGATTCATGACATGAGATATGATTCAGCTTTACAGTTACAGTACTTAAAATTCTGTGCAAAAGTCAGAGACCAACTTTCATTTATTTAATTTTCAGTCAAAACAGTCATTAAGTACAAGTTATTCATTTGTCAACAGCAGCAAGTAGAGAAAACATTTACAAATACGCAAAAGCCTCTAAAAATAAATATAATGCTATTGTTTTCCTCAAACAGTAGCGTAGCTTCATTTTTAGTTTTTTACAGAAGTCTCATCTTTTAATGATTTTAACTCCCACTTTTTTCCGCTTATTTTCCTGACTTTCCCTTTCTTTTGCCCTACGTTTTCATTTTTTAATTTAATTTTAATTTTGAAAATTAATTTTCATGCAATTAAAGCAAGGAACAAAAACAGTTGTTAGCAATGTAATGATTAAATAATAACATAAATTACAAGCCATTTCCGAATAAGTTGAGACAGTATATGAAATGCTAATAAAGACAGAAAGCAGTGATTAATAAATTGTTTGACCTGAATTACATTGAAGACAGTACAAAAACACAATATTTGATGTTTTACTTCATGAAATGTATTGTTTTTTGTAAATATATGTGCTTATTCTAGATTTGATGCCTATCACACATTCCAGAAATGTTGGGACACAAACTGTGTTCCATCAGCTTTCCTTTCGTACAACACTTAATAATCATTTAGGGGCTGCAGACACAAATTGATCCAGTTTTGAAAGTGTAATTTTTTGCCATTCTGCTGTTATACAAGTCTTGTGCTGTTCAGCCATACAGGCTTCTTTGTTGTATTTTGAGTTTAATAAGACACACATTTTCAATAGAAGACAGTTCTGGACTGCAGCAGGGCCAGTCTAGCACCTAATCTCTGGTTACGCAGCCATGCTGTTGAAACATGTTTTATTTCTTATTTTTTTCTAATATGTTAAAAACAGCAAATGAAAAGTAACTGAGCATTAAAATGTACAGAAGTGTGTTCTCTGCATAGAACATGTACTAGTTTTCTCCTTGAAAATCAACGAAACACAGAATTTGACCAAACACTTTTGCATACGGCTATAAGTAAGCAATATGTAAAATGTCAGTAAGTTTAAAGAAAGTAGTTAAAGTTAGTCTTTATGTTCTGTAATACATGGAGTATGTAGGAGGGCAGGATAAATTCATTAAATGCTCCCTGAATTCAAAATTTTTTTTAACTATATGTTACTTGTTGCAGTGGCGGTTTGTCCTTTAGAGTTAGTTGTAATAAGCCAAATGGAAGCGGCTGCTTTGTTCCAGTATAAAATGTGTTTCTCTGCTGTATAAAATTTGTCTACATTTTCTGATTGATCTTTCCAAAATGACTATCCATCTGTGTCTGCCCGTGTCTGATACTGTCTCTCTTCTCTTCACAGCTGCAGCATGTAATTTGCCTCTGGTTCACAAGAGGGCAGTAAAGGTCTGTGTAATACTGAGTGCAGTACTCAGTTCAGGTGTCATGTCTGTAACTTTCATGAACGTGCAGGTGAAAGTGAATAGAGATGCTATTCCCTGCTCGGCCTCAGAACCTGCTAAAGCTGTACTGACTGCAGTAACTACACAGCAGCAATCAGTGGATCAAAATGTTACTTATTTGATGGACGAATTGAAATATGCTTTTTTGTGACAATGTGGCCCCTGGGGGTGGAGCAAGGGGGGCCTTAAGGGGGCCGCAGAAAAATCTCAGACATTGTATCTTGGTTTAGGTAGCCTTTTTGTTGGTTTATTAAATTTGCTTTGGCCATGTCTAAAGAGGTGGTGCATGTTATTAAATGTCAATAAAATGAAATACATGTAAATCACAGTTCACAGCCATGTCGGACTCACTTAACGAATTATCTGTAATGTTATAGAACAAGGCCATGTGCATGGACAAAGTTCTGGTAAAACAAAGTCTTCATTCATCAAGTGAAACCAGTGACCAAGACTTGGTGACATTTATTATACACAAAGGGGGCATTAGACTAATATAAGTTACTGTTTGTTTGCTGAATAGAACATTAAGGGGGCTCTTTTTTATATTTTTTTGTTAAACTCAACATCATTATTTTCGTACATTTACGTGTATTTACATTTGGTCCATATAGAGGACATGATACTTTCACTTAGAAAATCAGCAAAGCGTAATTTGATAAGGGATATTCAAACTTTTACATACTGTGCTGATTAATTTAGGCATAAGTAGTACGGAGCACTTGCAGGTGTAATTGTTTCAGTGCATTAGGCATGTTGAAGGAAAGATGGAATGATACACAGTAAAATTGGATTCACGGGGCAGTGTCTCCCTGCGCCCTCTTAGAAGGGTAATTGCAGTTCTTCAATTTGCTTATCTCCCATTTAAGGTCATTGCTTTAATCACATTCCTTTGATCAAGTTAATGGCCTGGCCATGACGTTACACCAGCTAAAACTGACAAGACATAATCAGTGGGAAATCGGCGATCGAATATTCATCATGGTACGCGCACATGCGCACGTACCAACATGACCTTGGGTTGAAATTAGTGAGATGGGTCTGCCTTGAAAAGTCTCAAGTCTTAGGCACATTCTGAATGCAGTCATGTGTTGTTTGTGTG